ATAAGTTTTATTTACATTGACTACAACAACGACGCTAGCAACACCAACTGTTGGCATGTAATTGTTATGTTGCTGTCTGCGCTTGACGCATCTCGAAACTAATTTTTGGTGAACTAAGTAACCGAAAGCGATTCAGTCGAACGCGACTGTTTCAAACGCGTGGACGCCTTCAGGTTGCTTTAACTTCCGTTCTAAAGTCGTGGTGTCTCCTGGTGCTGTGCGGAAAGGAGTGCATTTTTAATATGTCGAGTGATAAAAAACATCAACACTTGCACCATCATCATGGGGTGCACCACGAACATCACGGTCACGCCTCGCCGCATCATCATCATTTGGTAGAAAGAAAAAAATTATTTTGTTCTTATTCTGTAAAAAAAAAAATAAATAAATAAATAAAAAGTGAAAGTTCTTTTTCAAATGAGTCAAAAACAAATGAAATAAAAATTGTAATGAAGGAGCTCTGCGTCATCGGATATGGAAGAATAACTTAACAAAAGTCGAAACGATGCAAAGATTTTACAGTTGTTTTGAATTTCATTTTATTATACTGTTTACTCTAATTTTATATTACTTTAAATTAAATTAATTATATTAACTTATTTATATTGTGTTACATCCAAATTTCTTTCGTTTCTTTTTTAGTATATTCTTTCTATTATATTCTATTTTCTTAATTGATGCATATTTCATTTGATTTTAATTTAATTTATTTCATTTTATTTTGTTTTATTTTAGTTAATTTAGTTTAAATATTTTTTTTTTCGGTTATTATATTATATTTTATATAATATTTTATTAAATTTACTTTGTTTTTTATTCTTATTTATTTTATATTGTTTTATTTCAATTTATTTTATTTTCTTTAATTTATCATATTTTGTATAATAACTATTATTGTTTTATTTCATTTAGTTATATTAATCAAATAATTATTAAATATAATAATTCAAATTTTTATTTTATTTTATTTTATAATTTTTTTGTTTAATTTTATTTTAGTTAATTTAGTTTAAATATTTTATTTGTTTCGTTTATTATAATATATTGTATTTTGTATTTAATTTAATTTAATTTACTTTGTTTTTTATTTTATATTATTTTATTTTATTTTCTTTTATTTTATTTTTTTTTTATTTTATTTTATTTAATTTTATTTAATTTAATTTAATTTAATTTTATTTTATTTCATTTAATTTAATTTAATTTAATTTAATTTAATTTAATTTAATTTAATTTAATTTAATTTAATTTAATTTAATTTAATTTAATTTAATTTAATTTAATTTAATTTAATTTAATTTAATTTAATTTAATTTAATTTAATTTAATTTAATTTAATTTAATTTAATTTAATTTAATTTAATTTAATTTAATTTAATTTAATTTAATTTAATTTAATTTAATTTAATTTAATTTAATTTAATTTAATTTAATTTAATTTAATTTAATTTAATTTAATTTAATTTAATTTAATTTAATTTAATTTAATTTAATTTAATTTAATTTAATTTAATTTAATTTAATTTAATTTAATTTAATTTAATTTAATTTAATTTAATTTAATTTAATTTAATTTAATTTAATTTAATTTAATTTAATTTAATTTAATTTAATTTAATTTAATTTAATTTAATTTAATTTAATTTATTTTAATTTAATTTTATTTTATTTTATTTTATTTTATTTTATTTTATTTTATTTTATTTTATTTTATTTTATTTTATTTTATTTTATTTTATTTTATTTTATTTTGTCTTTTTTTGTTTCTTTCGATTTAATTTAATTTATACATAATAATATTATGTATAATAATAATTTATACATATTTATTTATTTTATTTCAATTTTTTCATTTTCTTCAATTTATTTTATTTCGTATTATAACTATTATTGTTTTATTTTATTTAGTTTTTTTAATAAAATAATTATTAAATAGAATAATTCCAAGTTCTATTTTTTTATTTTAGTAAATTGTTATTTTATTTGATTTTATTAATTTTTTGTTTAATTTTATTAAATTATTTTATTTTGTTTTATTTTAGTTTATTTTACTTAAATATTTTTTTGTTTATATATTATATTTTATTTTATTTACATACTTCCTATTCTTATTTATTATTATTTTATATTATTTTATTTTATTTCAAGTAATTGAATATTGTATTATAGCTATTATTGTTTTATTTTTTTTTTCTTTTTTTTAATAAAATAATTCTTAAATACCGTAATTCTGATTTTTATTTTTTTTACTTAAGTAATTTTTTTTATATAATTTTATTATTTTTTTGCTCAATTTGATTAAATTTATTACTTTCTGCTATTTTATTTAAATACATTTTTATTTTAGTATGTTTTGAATTGTTTTACTTATTTTAATTTTTGTTGTTAATTTATATTTTATTTTATATAGATTTGTATTATTCTATTTTATTTTACTTTCTTTTATATTAATTCATTTTTTTTCTTACTTTATTTGACTTTATCTTATTTTAATTTATTTTTTTAATTCAAATATTTTTTAAGTGGAATAAAATTAATTTTTTTTTGCTTTTTTTATTTTTTATCCTTTATGTTTTTAATTTTTTTCTTAATATTCTTATTTCATATTATTCTATTTGAGCTTAATTTATTTAAACCATATTCCATTTTATTTAATTTTTTAATTTGTTTTAGTTTTACTATTTTATAAATTTAATTCAATTTATTTGATTCAATTTCTCTTTATTTTATTTCTATTTATTATAATTTTTTTTTAAAGGGTTTATTTGCTTTTATATTTGATTATTTTTTATTTTTATTTTTGGGTACAAAAAATGTCTGCTTCCTCTTATAAGGGAATAATATTGGTCTTATTTTAGATAGAGCGATTGAGCCAAAATAAATTATAGTTCATGACATAAAATATAGTACTCAGCTCACTTTGAAGACCATTACTTAGACCCGTAATCAATCAACAACCAGAAATCGGAACTACAGAGCTTTATGTCAATGTATAGGTGGTAAACGGATAAGATGTGCTCCTGAGGATACTTAAATCTGAGGAATGATTATTAATCAAGTGTTTTTCTATTAATTTTTGTCAATTTGGAATTTTTTCTTTAATATATGCCAAACAAATAAGAAACACGTTTTTTGAAATGATTTTTCTCACAGAAAATCATATTATCTCCTACAAGCCGTTTAAAGTTAAGCAATTTACTCGTGGCAGTTGAGAAAACTGCATCGAAAGAGAGTAAGAAAGAATGACCTTCCAGGATATAATCTTTCCAAAAAAGAAAAGAATTTTCAAAATGCACATATATTTTGAATTTATACGTACTTATACATAAAAAAAAATATACTATATATATAAAATATATACTACATATATATAATATAACCTAACGACTTAATAGCTTTCTTTATAATCTTATATTCGTATAAAAATCTTATGTCCGTTTGGAAAAATCCAGTAATCTCCAAAATTTGCCACCGATTGAGTTGAAATTTCGTCAGATTGCTTCTATATATAATATATGTATGTATATATAATTCCCGGGAAGATTTTCACGAAAAAATAAAAATGTTGGATATTGGTCTGGGGACTGACCTATTTAAGAAGTCCGACTATTCGTCTCTCTCTGGGACCAAAGTCCCAGTAGTTGAACCAAAAATGTTCTAGCTCCGCAAGTATTGAGTAAATAAAGTTTTGATAAGAAGACCATCTGCATATCGCTAATGAATCGTAACAAATTCGACTTATTTCTAGTGATGAAGGTGGCTCCCTTAGAGCAACACTCTAAGAGTTTGGTGGGAAGGTTGTTATGCGTCCATAGTCCGCACTTCGGAGCAAGGGATTACCTTTTATTCCTGATTAATGAAGAATGGATTTGGATGGTAAAGAATTGGACTCAAGAGAAGACTGTGAAAATGGATTTTACCATTTTTTTTACCAATAGGGACAAAGGTTTCCATGAGAGAGACATAGCCTTCAAAGTGGTAAAAAGGTATCCAGCAAAACGGAGCATATTTAACTTAAATCTGATAATTCAAACTATGACCTAGAAAGCCTTCAATTAATTTCAAAAATAAGTACTTTTTACTAAGCCGCTGAAGTGATTTTCGGCCGAGCTCTTCCTCTGAATGGTGCTGTACGTACAGATGTTTTTCGAGAAATGTAGGGAACTGTAGTTTGTACTAAGCCACATCCGAAAGCTGATGGATTTTTAAGAGGAACGGCTGCGGTAGCCGATTATTGATTAGCATTGCATACTGTCATTCGGAAGACCAGGTTCAAATCCTGATACGACCAACACCCAAAAGTCATAGAAAATTAATTTAAATAAAAAACTAAAAAAAAACAACTAATTGCGGTCGCTCCTCGCTCAACCCCTCCGTGTGCATTTCTGACATGAAATAAAGGTTTCCCAAAAAAAAAAAAAAAAACAATCAGCCATCCGGAGGCTGCTTAGTGTAAACTGTAGGTCCATCAATATGTTCGCAAAATATCAAGATGCTCCCACAAACTGAGACAGGAGCTCGCCCGAAAATCTTTTCAGCGGTTACAAACCAAGTTACATTCGGTTGAGCCATTTGCTTTTGGTTATTTGGAGGGAAAACTTACATCGAACGCAAATTCTATAGATCGTTCCTAGTCTCTTTAGCAACTTCGCAGCGCAGGTGCCTGAAATATCTCTGTGTCAGATCACAGACCACGCACATGCTGCATTTAGTAGTGTGTCTTATCAACACAGTCCACACTATTTCCCAAGCCGTTAAAAAAGTTATATTTTTGGTGTACCTCTGAGGCTGGGTTGCGCTATTTCCTACTTCAGTACCGCCCAGGTGCACATGGTCATCGAGAAGACTAACTGTTTGACCAATGATGATATCATTTCAGGACCCATGAATTAGAGTCTACCGAAAAATAATATTATTATTGGCGGTGAACGAAGAAGAATGTAGATTTTCCAACTTATTTTTCCAACTTATTTTTCCAACTTTCAGCTCGAGTCGAATTGGGGAAATGCAACAGCTGCCATGCCGGACCATCATCACGGGATCGATCTTGTCACTACCCTTCGCAGTGAAATGGCAGCGCTGTCCTATAAACGCGACCGCCTTGCAAATGATGTAAGTTGACAGTTAATTTCCAGTGAAACCTCTGCCACTAATATTGTACTTAAATAATTTTCCAACGAATGGCGTTACCAGCTCGGTGATGCCCGCACTGCTTTAGCCGCACGCGAATCGGAATGCGAGAATTTACGAGCGCAGGCCGCACGCCAATCAGCGCTCATAAGTAGTTTACAAAATCGACTGCAAACCGCTGAAAATCGCGAGCAATCCATACAAACACGCTGCGACTCGACTATCCACACAATACAACGCGAGAAGCACTCTTCCGATGAACGTAATAAAGAGTTGCAGTGCAAAATACAACACCTTGAGAATCACCTGGCAGCTGAGGAGCAGCAGAAGGAACAAGCGCGTACGCAACTCAACGATGTGTTGCGTCGCCTTGCCACATGTCTGGGCGTTGATCTCTGTGAAAATGTACATCTGACGCCCGAGTGTGTGCTGAATCGCGCAGAAGAGGTGATGACAGAGCTGCAACGTACCAAAGCCAAGGCGAGCTCCACTTGCGATACGCTGAGCAGTTGTGAGAACGAATTGATGAACTTGAAATCCCTAGCCAACATAGAAAAACAGCGTTTGAGTGCACAACTGGAGGGCATGACCAATCACAATCACGAATTGGAAGGACGTTGTCGACAATACGAGCGCGACCTACAGCTGCAACGCGATCGACTGACGGAGTCGGAGATAAGTGGTGAAAAGTTGAAGGAGGAGCTGCGTGGCTTCGAATCGCGTTGTCATCGCTTGCAAAACAATTTGGATCGCACGCAAAGTGAGCGCCTACAATTTCTCCGCTGTCTAGCGAATCAATTGAATGTACCCGAGCCATGCGAAACGCTCATCAAAGAGAAAGTGCGGGACATGCTAGGTGAAAGTCAAGCAATGCATGTGGTAAGTTGCGTATAAAATCAAAGGAAATCATTTGAGGAACTTTCATTTCCAGCAATTGCATTCCTTGCGCGATCAACTCAACTCGGAACAATCCAAATTGAAGGAAACTCAAGAGACTGCACAATGCCGCTTGCGTACTGAGGAAACGCAGAAATGTGAATTGGAGGAACGCCTGGAGAAGTGTCAAGCGGAGATACATACACTGCGCAATGATCACTTGGGTCTTTCAGAGTTTCTGCAGCGGCTGGCGCGTGTTCTAAATTGGGCCGAATGCAGCTCACCACCGGCTCTCGGTACGGATACCAACATTTTGGCCGAGTCACTGCTAGAAAGAGCAGAACGCATTGCTGCTCACTACGATCATCATGGGCATGAGCACGATGTGGGACCGCGACATCATCATCACTCGCGACACGAGCATTCACCGGAGAAAGTAAGTTTCGTAATGTCATTTTCGCCACACTAAATCACAATACCTCCGCACGTGACAAGCTTTCAAAAGGCCAACTCACTTCACCAACTCTCCGCCCGTGAAAAGCGTCATCGAAATCCAAACACGACAAGAGCTGGAGCTGTGGACACCTTATTACCTTTAGAACACGTTATCGACTAGCTTTGCCTACTCCGAAGCATGATTCCCTGGCAACAATAAGAACAAGAGAGGCTGCCCAAGGTAAAGCTCAAAGTTAGCTCGCCTCATAAACCACAAGGAATGCAAGAGGGAGTACGGGCTCATAGGGTGGAAACGATAGGGACCCCGACAACAGATTACAGACCCAACATAATCATAGACAATGGCAATGGTGACCTACGTCATTGCTCACTTTCTACTTCACCATTTTTTTATTCCTATCCCACGCCATACATTCATTTTCATTTCAGGGCTGCTGTGACCATCACGCGCATGTTCATGGCAAATTGAGACGGGAGCGTTCGTGTCACGACATACCGCTAAAGGAGAGCAGCAGCATTTACACCTTGCAGCGGCGCGTTCGCATACTGCGAGAACAAGTACAGCGCAGAGATTTGCATTTGGAACTGCTGCGACGTAAGCTGGCAATCATTGAAGAGGGCGCTCGGGGCAAATGTGTACTACAGGTCTTGGCGACTCAAAAACGAGGTGAGGAAAAGCTTTAATAATTTTATTCTCTTTACAGGGTGAACGCGATGAAGCGTTATGCCGTTCAAAGAAAGCTAACAAACAAATTGACAAGCTCACCGCTCAGTTGGTAGACGCACGCACGCAAATAGCCGAGGTCAAGGCACAGCTCGCAGAGGCTGTCGAATTTAAGGTACTGCAAAGATAAGATTCTGTACCCAGAAGTATACTCGAAGCTCATCATCTACTTACTCACTCAAATTTAGATCACCGCTTTGGAACGCGCACGCAAAATCGATGAGCTGACAAGTCAAATTTGCGATCTCGAAGAGGAAAAGACACGTCTGCTAGCGCAATTCAATGCTGTTAAGGACCGCCTAAAATCCACCAGCGAATCCTCACAAAATAGACGTTGCCGCGATGAAGCTCTTATAACTGTAAGTAGCCACGCAGCAAAACTGATTTATGATTCTCCATATTCTATCCGTATTTCTCCTCTGCAGTCACTGCGCGAGGATATTGCTCGCCTACAAAATCAACTCTCCGATGCCAATCATCGCCTCTCCCACTTACAATCATTTCGTACTTCGGTCGCACGCACGCTCCATCTTCGCGATTTACCCGAATCAGATTTATTGCATCGTTTACAGGCGCTGTGTTCAGCTCATCAAGAATTTACGCTACTCTCCAAACGTTACGAAACCACTTCGCCGGTGGGTGATCACCCCTGTCCACGTTTCGACGATCCCATACCACCAACTCCACATTGTCGCCCACCCAATGATGTTGAACTTACCGACGCTACACTTTATGAGGAACACACTAGGTCATCGCATGCACATCACCACACCACAGCTGAGCACCGTCAGCATCGGCATCGGAGCAAGAGTCGCGGTGCTGTCGGTGGAGGTGCTGTTGTAGGCCGCTGTGCCGATCGCTCGAATGAACGCATTCCCGGCTGCGCTGATCTACGCAGCATTGGCGCTGGTCCAGGTGTAAGCACTAAACGTATGCACGATAAGTGTTTCGACTCTGATGTGCATCGGCATCATTGTAACAGTGGAGAGTTTCTTGGCAGCGGCTACGATGATTTTGATTTTAAATGAATTTAGGGCTGAAAAGCAAATACTTTTATACTCGTTACCGTCTCAGGCAGAATTCAATAAAGAGCATTTATCGAAGTCATGTGTATGTATGTGAATGTGCGGCAAACTTTTCCTTTTCGATCCCAGGCTATGAAAAGTGACAGAACGTTAGTGAGGGTAGAGGGTTCCACCAAACCCATCTCATCAGGAGCACTAGAATACAATGATTGCTGTGTAAGAGCAAGTGAGTACCGTTTCCCTACTTTCCAGCTCGAGCTCTCGGGTTATTAGTTTTATATTTATATTAAAAGCTAAGCGCGGGTTTCCACTAACGTTAACCTCCATATTCATCAGCCCTGGATTCTAATCCCGCTCACGGCTGAATAAAATATTTTTTTTTTTTTCAGTAAATTTCATGATCGGCACCGCAATTCATCTGGCACTTCGCCAATCCTTCAATAGACATCTAATAGGAGCTGAACCTCCACATAGGCACATGAGAAAGGGAGTCTTAAAGCACACAATCCATCAACATGTGCAACAACCGCTGGACAGGACAGCGTACAGGCAAGCGCCGAACGTCATTCGTCAGGAGTCAGTCAACACCTTCAAAGACTGCATTCCAGTTAATGGCATATACGGAGACACGACAATAACCATCTCTTCACAAGCCACAATAAGTCGACACCTCTAATCCCACTCTCCCTCTGATCCAATTCCGTCCAATTACCGTCGAAACAGCATGTTTCCTGGACCTCCCGTTAGATGACCTCGGTGACTTTGATTGATTTTAAGCCCGTACCTAAGCGGGGTTAACGTATCCTCTACAAAAACAACAAGATCAGCTCGTGATGCTCCTTCATATAAATAAATTCAAACTCAGATTACCTTAACACATTCCCCTCACGAATCAACTTTCCTTGGTTTGGACTTCTTTCCCCTTACCACCGATTTTTCTTTGGTTTTGTTGGAGGTCCAGTTGTTCGAGCTAGAAGAAGGTCCAACGACATAACAACCAATTTTACATCAAATTAAAAGGCAACGAGATGCTTTAGATACATTTGACTTATCCTGGATCCCTCTTTTGCGGCACGAAAAAGATACCAAATCTCGCATTTGCCGTCCTTTCTTGGAATATAGACATCCGGTGTGTTTAACATAATTTTCTGCGAACATTATTAGACGACTTTCTCCGAAATATATGACCACTTTAGTCCAGTGCAATTCAGATGTGCAGGGCGAAGAAATATACTAATAATCGAAGTTAGTATTTGCACCCGCTGCATAGCGAAGCAAATAAGCGCGACATCTGTTAGCCTATAGCGACACTACTATTTGTGTGTCTGTACTAAATTTGCTTAGAATTTTCCGTGTTTGTTAAGTCAACAACAGTGCTTGTTAAACTGCTGTTAGGAAAACATTTTCAATTCTTAGCTCATTCCTTCTAACGAGTAAAGTGAATAGTTCCATTAAATCTCGACGAAAGTGTGAGCAATCGCTCCCTAGTTTTGATGCTATTTCTCTCTCGCAAATACACTCAAAATAAAAAATTTTCTGAAATTTTGTATCTGATATAATGAAAGTCAGTTACTGACGAATATTTTTCAAAACTTTATAAATAGAATTTTAAAAAGGCTCCTTAGCAAGCGATATTTTTCTCAGTAAATCGTGGATTTTCAAAAGAAAAATGGTATTTAAGCTCAACCTGTATCGGGTTCTTGTTATAGCTTCCAACTAAACTTATTTGCTTTTTTGGTGCAATATCGATATAATAATCCAGCCGGCTTGAAGTCCTCATAAATAAAAACAATGTTAGTAATTTTTTTTATATATTAATTTTATTTTACTTGATGAATATATTTTTATTTTTTAATACAATTAATTTATTTTTTCATTTTATTTCGTTTTTTATAATTTATTTTCCTTATCTACTTTATTTTATTTTACTTGTTTACCTCAATCTATTTTTTTTGTGCATATATTTTCATTTTTCGATTTTTTTTAATTTTGTATTTATTATATAATTACTGAATAAAATCGACAATTGAAAAATATGTTTAAAAAGAGAAAACCAAAATAGTAAAATAGATAAAAAAAATAAATCGAAATGAGGTGATACAGCAGATAGAGAAAATAAAGTAAAAAAAGAAATATAATGAAAACATAAATTAATTATTATCTTTAAGTAAAAATAAATTAAATAAAAAATGTAATTAAACAAATAGTTGAAAAATAAATTAAAAATAATAATTTGATTTTTTTTGGCCTTTAAATTTAATTGTTTTTAATTTTATTATATTTTTTTAAAATATTTATTTATTGTTTTTAATTTATTTACCATATATTATTTATTTATCTTTAATTTTATCTTAATTAATTTATTTTTTAATTCATTTCATTTTATTTTATTTATTTGCCGTATATTGTTTATTTTTTTTAATTTTATTTGAATAAATTTGCTTAAGTTTTATTTTAATTAATTTATTTTTTAATTCATATCATTTTATTTTATTTATTTGCCGTATATTGTTTATTTTTTTTAATTTTATTTGAATAAATTTGCTTAAGTTTTATTTTAATTAAATTATTTTTTAATTGATTTCATTTTATTTTATTTATTTAAAATATACCTTTTATTTTTTTTAAATTTTATTTGAATAAATTTTTTTAATTTTACTTTAGTTAATTTATTTTTTAATTCATTTCATTTTATTTATTTACCATATTTTGTTTAATTTTTAATTTTATATTTGAATAAATTTGCTTAAATTTTATTTTAGTTCATTTATTTTTAAATCGTTTCGTTTTATTTTATTTATTTACCATATATTGTTTTTATTTTTATATTTTATTTGAATGAATTTGTTTAAATTTTATTTTAATTCATTTCATTTTATTTGATTCATTTTTTAAATTTATTTATGTTTTTTTATATATTCTATTTTTGTAAATTTAAATTTTATTCTACTTTTCTTATACTTCTTGTTTAGAATTAATTTTACATTAACTTTTGGGCCGACTTACATACTCCCAGTAGGAGAAGAGATAGTAGACCCATCAGAATCTATTCCCAGATGATCAGAATGGCGAGTAGAGTTTATTTAACCATATCTGTTTGTATGCAAACTTGTCGCCCAATTTCCGAGATATTTCAACTAAATCCTGTACAAGCCAGCCTAGTCCACTATAACATATGAGCGATGATTTGTAAGTTTTGAGATTTTGGGACATATGTAAATCTGTTCAAAAGGCATATAAGAGCATGAAATTTGATAATCTGCACACATATACCGAAAAGAATCGAACGAGAACGAGAATTACATATATTACTTAGCTGCCGTATAACCATTTTTTTCAGATATGAGATTTTGGTCAGAATTCCGGCAAAAAGCGTCTGACTTTTAGTATACAAATAAACATTGACTTCAAAATTCATCAGTTTTCAGTTATGAGAAATAAAAAGTGAAATATCAATAAATTTTAATATGGTCGGTATGGAGGTACAAGTACTTCATAAGGGTTGTCATTAGTTTTAATTAAATTATTTTCTTATATTATTTTATGTCTCTTTTCATATTTATTTCAATTAGATACTTATTTCATTTCATATATTTAGTTTATTTATGTTTTTTTAATTCTTTCGTATTTATTTATTTTATTTCATTATTTTAATTTATTGTAATACTTTTAATGCTTTTTCTTATTTTTTTTTTTTGTTTGATTTCATTTATGTTTATATTTAATTTTTATTTAATTTAATTGACTTTATTTTTTTATTTTATTTTTTCCCTCTTCAATTTTATTTATTATTTTGCTTTATTTTTTTTTATAATTCATTATTTAATTTATTCATTATTTTTATTTTAATTGTTTTAAACACAAATTGCTTGACGTCCTCAAGGGACGATATAGCAAAGATAACATTTTACGAAACTCTCACAATTTGCATATAAAAATTCGTTCTTCGGATAAAAGTACACAAAGTTATCATATCAGGTGTACAACTTTGCTTCCGCCGTTTTCCGATAGGTAGCTGTACCGGCTGAGGCTGGTTAAAATACATAGATGATAATGCCTTTAAAGTGAGTGTGGACAGTGCCTAATGCATTGTCATCGCCGTTTCAGTGACAGTTGTTCTTGTTTTCGTATTATTCACGCTCGAAAATGTCCGTTTATGTGCCTAATTCTCGCCATTTGCGGGAAGTTTTACTTTTCTGTTACAATTCGAAAACAAATGCAGCTGAAGCGCATCGAATGCTCTCAGAAACTTACGGTGATGCTGCTCTGAGTGAAAGAACGTGTCGGGAGTGGTTTCAACGAATATTCACGGCGCCAAGGTTATGACTTGTATTTGGTGGGTTCAGCTCGGTGTGATTTACTACGAGCTCTTAAAACCGTATGAAACCATCACAGGAGATCGCTACCGCACGCAACTGATGCGCCTTAGTCGCGCGCTAAAAGAAAAGCGGCCACAATATCAAGAGCGACATGACAAAGTCATCCTCCAATACGACAATGCTCGGCCTCACGTCGCAAAAGTGGTCAAAAAGTACCTGGAAACGCTGAAATAGGAAGTCTTGCCCCACCCGCCGTATTCCCCAGATGTCGCCCCTTCTGACTACCACCGATTCCGTTCGATGGCACACGGCCTGGCAGATCAACATTTTCAATCCTTCGAAGGAAGAATTGGAAAAATGGATTGCTTCATGGGCTCCTTCAAAAGAGAACTCCATTTTTCGAGCCAGGAACCGAAAATTGCCGGAAAGATGGGAGAAAGTTGACGCTAGCAAAGGACAATACTTTGAATAATATATCTGTAAGCACTTTTTCGCAATAAAGCTTTTAATTTTGGAAAAAACGGCGGAAGCAAAGTTGTACACCTGTATATTTTGAAAAATCAATAAAAAAAGCCGAACGAACCTTTTACTTGGCCAATATATCTCATTTATTTGATTACATTTTTTTTTTTTTTTGAAATTATTTTGTTTAATTTGTATAGATATTTTTTTTTTTTTTTATATTTCATACTAAAATTATTAAAGGTTTTATTTTACTTGATTTTATTTTGTTTTACTAATTTAATTTGATTATTTTCATTTTTATTTAATTTTAATATTTATTTTATTTATTTTTTTTATATTTTTTATTTCATTATTTTCATGTAATTTATTTATTTTTTCTTTCATTTTAATGTAATTTTTTCATTATTATTGTTTTCTAAATTAAATTTTATATCATCTTTCATTTTTTACTTCATGCTCTCCATCATAAATTTTCTTATCTTCCTGACGAACCAACAGTACAAAATCCACTTAACCGCCTTGAATACGAAATTTTCTCATAGCGATAAAATTACAAACAATTAGAGGATAAAATTTAGCAGAATCGTATAATCAAGCAAGAGCGAGTGCTAATTTAATCCAACTCGCCAAGTGTTTTTTCTAGCAACGGTGACCAGTTTTTGAGTATGAATACATACACATACACACATATACACATCGCCGCTTCAGAAGTAAAAAAAAATTTAAACTCTTGTTTTACAAATATGTATGTGTGTAACAACACAAATATACACACATGCGTATTAACTCTTGTCTGCTATATGTATGTGTGCATGCATGTATGTGTGTATGTGTGTTTGTAAGCATATTTCAAACACATGCTTGCATGCATTCACCGATCTGCAGCCCTTTAAGGTGATATGTTAATGCGTATAAATTTCCATGCACTTTTTTTTTTTTTTTTTTGTTCTATTGTAACTTCTCCATTCATTTGCAAACTCAGCCGTCTGTATCTCCGGCCATGCAGAATGTAGCCAAAACAACACATATTGTTTTGCATTTTAGAAGTTGGCTGTTCTAGGAGCGTCCTCCGCCGCGCTGCGCCGCTGTCTGTTCAGGTTTTCCGCATTTGACTGCTGCAAAATCTGCAAACCACAGCCAGCCAGTCAGCCACACAGCGACAGAGCCACACAGCCAATACAACATTGATGAGTGCAACTTGGCGACTTGTACATAGTTGGGTGCATTGAACCCTAAGCGACCACTGTCAGTGCCACAGCCAAATGCCACAACTCCAGTCGTAGCGCAGTCCAGTCGCAGCCACAGCCTGCAGTTGTAGCCCAGTGATCGTGCCACATTTTTGTTGGCATTTAAATGTGTGCGCTTCGTTGGATATGTATGTGTGTGTGTAAGCGAATTGTTACATGTGACTTGAATATACGTTCACGTGCGCAGATTTAGAATACGCTTCGTGGGGTCTATGTCGTATGCGAGACGAGAGTTTAACAGCTGTGTCAGAATGTTCTCAACCCAATGCGATAAAAAGCCATAAAATCAGGCAGAGGCGGAGAGACAAGCAGCGGTATTCAATGCGCTTGTGATGTGGTAATCTTCTACTTTCCGTTGCGACTCGTAAGGGTTGAGTGAGGTGGGGGGAGTCCATAAAGTTACACATACATACATATATATATATATAGACATACACATCAGTTTATGCTTGTATTTAAAAATTAATAACCATAAAAATACAAGAATTTAACCAGTTCAAGATTTCTTCAATCTCTTCGGTGTAAGATTTAGCTGTCTCAGAGAATGCAGAAGAAAATTTTATTGCAAAAAGTTTAAACAAATGAGTAAAGAGTGAAGTCCGGTTTTAGGTTTATTCAAAATTCGTCAAAAAGATGTTTAATAACGTTCTTCCGAGTGCAGTCATAGCATCGTTGGTCAGAATGGGAATACTCCACAATGCAATGTGCTACTCTTCTTCCATGGGTCATGATCGTCAAGGAGCATAACTCGCTCTAAAGCTCAGAAATTCGCATCCAAGATTACTTTGCGCGTGATACACTCCTCTTTCTTGAGGGACGTCCGCATCCCCAGCTGCTTGGTTTACTATAGTTGCCAGCTGCAGTCGATTGGCACATTCACCAGTATAGTCTCATCATGGGAGCACCGATGAGGATGGCGTCATTGAAGGAAAGTATTGTTTAACCTTTTTTGCGGATAGGTCGGCCTGCTGTTGAGAATCATCCATCGGCAATGGGCACAGAGTTTCTAGTGTTGTATTTTTCAGGCAGAGGTCTCGTTATCAAGGAAGCGGTGAGTGTTTGCTGTGAGACAGGCCAATATTTATTCGGATAGTCAATAGGCCCGAGATACAAACAGGGGTGACCGCCATAATTGAGAATGATTTCTCGCTATAGGAGTCTGTAGTATTGACTAACTCAAATACTGAAGTCGTGTAAGACTACTGCGGAGATGTTGATGATCTTGTGCATATGAGTGCCACCGGTTTCTTCAACAAACCGTCTACTTTTGATCAGCTCGCCCTTGAACCAGCTTAGCTTGCGTTGGGCTGGGTTAGATTAGGGAAGCTCAAGCCGAACATTTTCCGTAAGGGTCGGTTTTTACGGATCCGAAAGTCGTTCGGAATAAGAGTTGGATTCATTTTAACCTGAAGTTGAGATTAAAAATTTTCGGATTGCCTACCATTACCAACTCGTATAAGCTTAAAATAAACTGTAGGCCGCCCCATTTGTTGAAAACATCAAGTTTCATACCAACAATTGAAGGAGGAGCTTTAGCGAAAATCGAGATTACAAAGCACCAATTATTTATGTTACATATATGGCCTCACCAGGGGTGTGCCCATTTGGGATCTCCTTGAGATCAGCCGTCTCTACTAGTGTAACGTGAGGGATTCTGCTGAACTTCTTTTGAAATAAGGCGGATTCACTTCCTTCTGGCATTTACATACATACTTCGGCTAAAATATATGTATAGTACCATGTCATGTTTGTAGAGGGTATAAGAATCTCCGACGAAAATTCTCCCTTGAAGTTAATTGAAATCTTTATATATATAATGGGTACTCTTCTGGACGCGCAGAATGTTACAAATTGAACTGAGTTTTGCAAGAAAAGGATGGAAAACGTAATGTAAGCTTACACTGGCTGAGCTTTTAGTCCTTTTCAGACAGAGCTATAGTTTTTAAAATATCAATTCTACTTTTAGTCTCCTAAAAAGCGAAGCTTTGAATCTCTCAAGCGTGCTATAGAAAAGCAACTTCCAACGTCTTAGTCAGTCATTAGCCCTGCGACCGCTACCCCTTGCATTCGAGACCTCTTAATAAAAAACCGGTCAGTCCTTCTTCGCTGCTATTACACATGATGCTGCATGTTATTGTTGGTCTTACAGGCTGTTCAAATATTCTTTTTACCCTCACCTCTCTTGTCTTGCCTGATCTTTCGTCAATTTCAACGCACAGAGTCTGTGCCGTCTTTCGTATTTTCCCCACTGCTACGGTCGCCGGAAGTATGACACTTTTGGCACCTCTTCTACTATTTTATTCACCCCAATGCCTTTATGGTTTGGTCTGCATAAAATCTGCATTGTGTAAATGCTTCCTTGCAGCCACCTTGCTGTCCCTTTTGCTTTCATGTACGTTTTCTTTCACAGCGGATTTTGAGTCCAATGTCGATTGACAGTAGATAAGGTCACCTCTGGAGTGCAACCGTTGGAGTACCTCTTATCGCTACATATATCCACTCCGATCACTTTTTGGTGGTCCATCAGATCAGAGTATCATAAAGCCAGTGTAGCTTGACTAATGTCGTAAGATCGCTCGCCAACCCAGCCGCGGTAGCCGAGTGGTTAACAATAGGTACTAACATTCGCAGGGTCTGAGTTTGAATTCCGATTTGATTAACATCCAAAATTATCGAATATTAATTTTCTAGTAGCGCTCGCGCCTCGGCGGAGAATCTCACGTCTGCGGAGTGTATTTCTTAGATGAAATAAAGCAAAGCTTCTCATAAAAATCCTTCAACTGTTCGGAGGCGACTTAGAGTAAACCGTAGGCCCTTCATTTGTTGATAGAACATCAGGACGCACACCCAGAATAGGAGGTGGAAATCCGCCTAAGCAGTTACAATACAAAACGCCAAAAGGGCTGAAAGGGTCTAACAACAAGTCACAGTCATGGCCTAGGTGACCTGAAGCTAAAAATCTCCCAGTCATGCCGAACCAGAGAAATTCTTTCTCTTAAATTGGAGAATCTACTGTGTAAGAAAATTTTGAACTAAAACAACCTGCTTTATATATTTCCGCAAATCTATTTTTTTTTTTATTAAACTAGATTCCATCCTTTCTCTCAGTACAATTCTTTAGCTTGTAGCTCATCCTCGGGTATTTTAAATAGAAACATCGCAATAAACTCATCGTATAATTTATCCTTCTCACGCAACTCCTGTTCTTTGGAAATTTCATCGAGCAACTCCAGCATCTCCTGTTGCTCCTCAACAGTCGGCTCGGACAGTTGATCCCACAACTGCTGCGAGGCAACCGCGAACTCACGCATAAAGTGCACATATAAATTATCAAATTCAGTGATATTCTTTTGTGATTTGTAGAATTCATCTGAGATCAGTTGAAAGTTGAATTCCGGCTGCAACGGAGCCAATTGTCGGCGGAGCAGTTCAATGTGTAGATTATTCAACTTGAACTGTCGCAACAGCTTACGCTTCAGTGTAAAATTTGTATATGTCACGCCGTCCAAAGCTTCGTTCACCTTACAAATGTAATCGCGCATCGTTTGATTGGTGCTCTGCAAGAGTGTCGGTGGCATCTCTTTGCTTATGTTGAGATAGACATTTCGGGTTATGATCAGCGCACGATCGGTCGTGTTGAGTACAAGATCTTCGACACGTTCAATGAACGCTTTCAACTCTTGACTTGTCTGCTGCACCGCTTCAACGCCAACGGAGGTGGATAGCTGTGCATGGAGGGAAGTTCTTCTATTGTTAATGTAAAAAACATGTTTTTTTTTATTCTGCTAAGCTCACCTGTGTGCAAAAAAGTGTTGCTAGAATGGTTAGCCAGCAATTTGCCGTCATCGTACGTACGCCCGCCAAAAACGTCTGGAAACACACAGCGCAGCGTAAAGACTAAAATCTGAAGTTGCCTAACAGGCTAACTGAAGTTACTGCCAAACTGCTGGCGAAACTTGAAGTGACTCTTCTTGCGTAAACCACAAAGGGAAGGAAAGAGTTGCATAAACTTCGTACACTCATCTCAGGGAAATGATGGCAATGGTAAATAATCCGAATGAAATGTTATGATGCATATGAATAACATAAAGTACGCACTTGAGTACCGTAGATTGTGTAGAACTGGCTTGGGAATTATCCATTTAGTGGAAAAATTTGTGAATACGATCACCATTTCTTTATTGTTTGAGATTCAAGAAAGCAATCACGTCTAGACTAAGATTTGTCTCGCTCAACTCATCGTCGATTCATGTCGTAAACTTTGTCACGAAGGCAGGTAAAACACCGCCTTGGCGGCGTACTGCTCTCTATCAGCATACGGAAAACCCCTAAACTGTCTGTGGAAAACTTTCGGACATTGATAGAAGTCCAGAGGGAATGTACAAAGTCAAATCCTGTATATAGAATACCTTAATGTATACACAACTACTTTCCGAAGTTTATGGAAGAAGACAAAGCATTCTTATGCATCCCAAGCATGCCTTTATCTGGCATCAGTAGTACATATTGTCAGGCACAGTTGGTTTATATGCACTGTAAAATCCATTCAAACCTTGAACAGTAAAACATCTGCTAAGACACTCTCCCTGAAGGGTGAATTGCCCACATGGTGACCAAGCGTTACGGCAACTTTTCAAATGGGAGGTGAATAATGTATGTGAATACAAAAGACTGCAGTTTCCAGCAGAGTTACACTACACCATCTCCACTTACTGTTTTGGCAATCTCTGCTCAACACAAATCTCAAACAGGTATGGAAGAATACAAAAGCTCCGAATCAGAATGACATAGACAACTTCTCCGATGGCCCAAACTCGCAAACAGAGCAGTCTGTGCAATTTACTCACCAATGCTATAAATCCATTTTGTTTTGAGACTATCAGACTACTGCAGCGCCGGTCTTCTAAGCAGAACTTATTGCAATCACGGCAGCCGCAAAATGGTTTGCAAGGATCTTTGGTTAAAAACCAATAAATCAGTATATACACGGATAACCAAACTGCCAACAGATCTCTTCAATGTAATTACGCCATAAGAAATGTTGCGTTGAAATGCACTTCTAGCAAGCTCCCGGCTAGATGCAATGCTACCATGGACATAGGGATATTCCAGGCAATTGTAGGACGGATGAGCTAGCGATGGAAGAGAGAGTAGTAACTTAATCAAATTATTCGCACATCGCAAAGATATCTTTGTCTATAGCAAAACTCAGACTAAAGCGGACTTTCACCAAAACAACAAACAGTAGATGGCTTGGCGAGGGAGCCGACAATGTGACTAGACGGCTTTGGCCTGTGCTGGACGTTAAAAGCTCAAGGGATCTAACCCATCTAGACCAGTTCACCATTAATTCAACAATGGGCATACCAATGGGTATTCGTGGTGGAAGAATGGGATACTTTTTGAATGATTTTTGTCATAGCTGCAGCGACGAAGAGGAGGAGGAGTCTGTCGAGCACTACCTCTGTCACTCTCATTCCCTTACCAATATATGACATAAATACCTCGGATATCACTTCTTTTACTGCGTGACTGACGTAGCAACGGCTGGTGTAGGCAGTATCGCATCACTCATATGACACACGAAATATTTCTGAGAAGGTAAGGAGCACATCGTACCGCCACATCCCAACTCAACTTAAAGGGTTTATAGCCTATTAGCCTCACTTCATTTCCTATAAATTCTTTGAGATTATGCTTCAGAAATGTATGTACATGTATATGTATATTGAAAAGTTTCTTCGAATCAGGATGCTGAACCAAATATCCCGACTTAGCGCCATAGAATTACGACGTAGAGAGCATTTAATGTCATCTTACTTAACGGTTATACACTACACAGACTTTCAAAAAATGTATCCAAAACGGTAACAGCCATTGATGAAATTCATGTCCGTAATCTTCTTAATAAATTATAATAAAAAAGGTAATTTTGAATGAGCGTATGCCTTTCAGATTAATCATAGGAGGTAATGTTCCGGAAGAGTTTTAACCACGCTGTGGTGGACTTTCACAAAAAATCTGACAGGTTATCTACTTTAAGGGGTAAAGTCACTCTAAAGTTTGAAAAATAGATTCATTTTTAAACATTTTTTGTAGGAATATGGGGAGAGGATTCTGATTGCCATCATACTATTTCATTGAACATACACGGTGTGTCCCAAAAATAAACGAACTTTTTGGATATAAATTAAAATACACATTATATTATCTTTGAAAGTTATTATTTATTCAAAATATTTTTCATTTGACTCAACACAACGTTTGGAACGATCAACCAGCGCATGCATAGATTTTTTTATGTCATTTATAGAAATGTTCTTCAGTACCTCGGCTACGGCTGCTTGAATGGCTGGGATATCATAATAAAATGCTGCCTTCAGCTTGGTTTTCAGTTTTGGAAATAAAAAATAGTCACATGGTGATAGATCAGGCGAATACGGAGGATGATCGATGAGAGAAATCACTTTTTCCATTAAAAATTCGAGCGATTTTTTGGTCGTCATTTAATTCATGTGGAACGAATCGCGCACAGACCTTTCTTTTCCCCAAATCTTCAGTTAAAATTCTCCAAATAGTGTTTTTACTCGTACTCAATACCTCAGCCAACATTCTCGTAGTAAAATTTGCATCGATACCAATAATTTCACGGACTTTTCCCACCAGCTCAGCACGATTACTAGTTTCTGGACGTCCTGCTCTAGGGTCGTCATTTAAATCCTCACGACCATTTTTATATCGTGTAAACCACATATAAACTTGCGTACGACTCATACAATCATCACAATAAACTTTTTTCATTAATTTTTTTTCAAGTTTGACACAAAATTTTATATTTGCTCTTTGTTCCATTTGATTTTTGAACCATTAGCACACTTTTGGTTTTATTGAAATGGCTGTCACTTTTACATCTGTCATCCGACTTACATGATGTTAGGTGGGTTTGAAAGAGGATGGATGTATCTTTTTAATGTTGCAAATTTTCAATAGGTGGCGCTGTATGTTGTATGAATTCAATACAAAGTTCGGTTATTTTTAGGACACACCGTGTACATATATTAACTATTTTTTGCTACAAAAGTCCATGTTTTTTTGAAAGACTTAGAACAGAAAAGCAAAAAGTTTATCATCTACAAACTATTGTCTTTGGAAGTACGTACGGATTTTTTTTAAAATAATTTTTGTAAAAGTGGCACTAAACTATTAAAAAAAAAGTGAAAAACAGCTACATATTTCCAAAAAAAAATTAAAAATTGTAGTAATTTGTGTAGCTACCAGCAAATTTTCAGATAAATCGATGTAATAAGTGCCGATTAATCTGTTTTCCCAGTTTGAGATATGTGATTTTGAGAATAACGAGTTTTCATTGCACTCTGAGGGGCCGCAGCAAAATTAAAAGTTCATCTATTTCAAATATTTGTTTCACTTTATAACAAATTGCGTATCATTTCTAGGACCCAAAGGTAACCTGTGAGCAAAAAAATATAAAATGCGCTTACCAAAATCCCAGAGTGGCTTTAACCCTTGAGGGGTAACATAGGTCTTGATGGCAAAAAAAAAATGCTTATTTTCTCTAATTATTTTAAAAGATACTAAATACAGTATAAAATTTATTTTATTTACATATTGTCATTGTGTTGTCCACATATTGTGATTGATGAAAATTTTAATGAAAAATAGTATAAGTTAAGGCGTTGGCAGTGTCGTGAAGTAGACCGTTCACAAGAAAGTGCTTTCGCGGTAGTAATGATAACTTTTTCAATTTTTATCAGAAATCAAAAATCCAAATTTGTTCCTAAAGTAGGTGAAATTTCCTTGTTCTTGAAGGGAGAAAAATAAAAAAAATTAAAAATTAAAATATTAAAATAATTTTTGCATAAAATTAGGTCACATATTGACTTGTAAAATGAGTTGAAACCAAAGATAAAATAAATCCTACGTTCAGGGACTACAAAAACATGTTTAAAAGAAATGTGGAAAATTTGAACTCGATCGCTTTAATAGTCGTTGAGAAATTTCGACCACCGATTTCGATAAAGTGGTTTTAAGAAAAACGCCGTCTTGCCTGTCGCCATCGGTCAAGCCATGACAAAGACCGCGGATTATAAAGCCCTCTAACTTCTACAGTTTCTTCTCGATCGACTTGAAACTTGGGGAAAATGTTCCTGACACTTTGTACTTTTATACAAAAAATTATCTCGTAAATGAATTTTTTGAAATTTCAATACCTACATATGTAACCCCTTAATAGGTTACATGGGTTAATTAGGGGAAAATGGTATATTTTCAATAATTTCTTATTTATATCAAAAGTATAATAATTTATCTATTTACTGCCTTAAAAGTGTACATTTCTGATATTTTCAAATGAAGATATTCATAACTCCGTCATTGTGACCTCATTTCGGGTGATACTCATGACAAGATCATATCCGAAGTGAAAAGCGCTAAGCCATTTTATTTATTGTATCATAGATCAACTAGAAAAAAGAGCATAATATTCTCTTTATATTTAAGAAATTATAAGAAAATTAAAAGAACTAAAAAATGCTTTCAACACAATTTATGGTAGCAGAGAAACCCTTTCGAAGTTAACTGACATTACTTGGAAGACGCTATAGTTCAGATCAAATTCAAATGAATTGAGACTTTTGGTAAAATAATCTGTTAAGATGGCTATCTATCTATGATCCAAAGCGTTTTTTTTCGCATTTGGTCGGTCCAGCTTCACCTGCCTTATGGTGCGATTCCTCCAAGACTGAGTCATGTTCAGCCTAATTGCGTTAAAGCTCGATTGAAGTGCTCGACCTACAGATGTGGAGGAAACTTTTCAAGGCTTTTGAAAG